GGTCTTTTGTTTTTCCATATAAAGGTGAGAATTGTTCTTTCAAGGTCTGTGAAGAATTGTGCTGGGATTTTGATGGGAATTGCATTGAATTTTTAGATAACGTTTGGCAAGATTGCCATTTTTACTATGTTGATCCTACCTATCCAAGAGTGTGGGAGATCTTTCGATTTTCTTGTATCTCCTTTAATTTCTTTCTTTAAATACTCACAGTTCTTGTGATACAGGTCTTTCACTTAATTGTTTAGTGTTACCGCAAGTTATTTTATGCTGTTTGTGGCAATTGTAAAGGGTGGTGTTTCTCTGATTTCTTTCTCAGTCCTTTTATCATCTGTATATAGTAGGGCTACTGATGTTTTTTAGTTGATCTTGTATCTTCTCACTTTGCTGAAGGTGTTTATCAGCTGTAGGAGTTCCCTGGTAGAGTTTTGGTCACTTATGTAAACTATCATATGACCTGCAAATAGTGAAAGTTTGACTTCTTATTTTCCAATATGTATCCCCTTGATCTCCTTTTGTTTTCTTATTGCTCTAGCTAGAAATTCAATAATGAAGATGTATGCAGAGAGGTGACAACCTTTGTCTTCTTCCTGATTTTAGAGGAATTGCCTTGAGTTTCTCTCCATTTAGTTTGATGTTAGCTGTTGGTTTGCTATATATAGCTTTTATTATGTTTAGGTCTGTTCCTGCTATTCCTGACATCTCCAAGACCTTTATCATGAAGTGGTGTCAAAAATTGACCACATACTTGGCAACATAGCAAATATCAACTAGTACAAAAAAAATTGGAATAATTCCATGTATCTTGTAAGACCACCATGCTTTAAATTTAGAATTCAACAACAACACAAACTGCAGAAATCCTACAAACTCATGGAAATTGAATAATGCACAATTGCACCATTCCTGGGTCAAAGAAGAAATAAAAAAGAAATTAAAGATTTCCTAGAATTCAATGAGAATGAAGACACAACATACTCAAACTTATGGGACACTTTGAAAGCAGTGCTAAGAGGAAAGTTCATTAGCACTAAGTGCCCACATGAAGACACTGCAATTCTTATAAAGGAAAACTTTTAATTGGTTGCTTACAGTTTCAGAGGTTTAGTCCATTATCACCATGGAGGGACATAGCAGCATGCAGGCAGATATGGTGTGGGAGAAGGAGCTGAGAGTGTAGAAGGAGCTACATCTTGAACCCATAGGAAATAGTAAGTTGTCTGGGACACTGGTCATGACTTGAACATGTAGGAGGCCTCAAATTCCACAATGATACACTTTCTCTGACAAGGCCATACCTTTTGCAACAAAGCCACACCTCCTAATAATGCAACTCCCTATGAGCCTATGGGGGCCAATTACACTCAAACTATTCAGTCACCTAAGACCATTTGAGTATCGGATATTTACATCATGATTCCTAACAGTATCAAAATTAGTTAGGAAGTAACAATGAAATAGTTTTATAGTTGGAGTCACAGCATTAGGAAGGTTGAGAACCACTACTCTAGTAGAGTTTTAAAATGGCAAAAAAATTAAATTTCATGTTTTAAGTAAGTTTATGATCTTGTGTTAGATCATATTTTTAGCTATTATTGCTATATGCCACAAATTGGACATAACTGCAAACCCTCAAACAATTGTACTTATTGGTTGATTGTTTGCCTTCCCTGGTTTCTTTTTTTAACCTAGTAATTATTGATTTTAATTTTTCAGAGTTATTTTTCTATGATATGTATCTGTCTATTACAGTTTCACTGAAAATCTTTGGTAATTCCTGTTTTGCATGAACTGCATCTTAGACATGATATAATGAATATTTTTTTCCTGATGTCATTGTTCTTAAAAGATAAATGCATACAAAACCTTCATGAGCCAAACCCAACGATGGGACCACTTTTAAAATGTTGGGCCTGTGGCTTTGGAGTGCAACTCAAAGGTACAGTGTATACATTGCATGCATGAAACTCTGCTCCCGGTAACAATAACAAAAAAGGAAACAGTGTAAGCCCCAAGATGTTCTAAAATAATATGCTTCTAACAAATAACCATAATCCATCATCAATCATATTTCCAAGGGGCAAGTATGGTCTCTTCGGCTGCATGATTTTATTATAAGATTTCTATTTAATTCTAATAATTATGTTTTAATGGGACAACCACAAGGTAAAAATTGTGCAAAGAATAGTCATGATGGTGAAAAGTAAAAAGGCCATGTGCCAGGAAAAACACACTGTTTCTTTATGAAGAGAGGACTTATTTATGCTCTGATATTTGAAGGATTGTCATGTGGATGAACAAAAGTGACAATTCTCTTCTGCTCCAGATGGCACAAAAAAGATTAAATTTTATATGAAGTGATATCTTAGCTCAATATAAGACAGAACATGAAAATAATGTTTCTGTCCAGCTATAAACAGGGTTTATGTAAAAGTAAAGTCCTGAAAAGTATTGATCAAGTTAGCCTAGTTTGTGCTTCAGCAACAAAAAGAAGGAAAAAAAACGATTATCAATATTTTGTCAGACAACGCTTCTTATTTATACTATCTGCCCAACACACACAAAAATTCCTCATAGTAGCACTCAGAGATTTAAGATGACATAGGTTCTGCCATCATAAGATACAGTCCCCAGGGCTGTCATGGCAGGAAACATAATTTGTATCAAAATAAACTCAAGTTCTTCTGCCTGAAATGAATTCCTATCATTTCCACTTAAATCTCATTGGCCAAAGCAGTTCAAAGACAAGTCTAAATTTAAGGAGACGGGCACATCACAACCCAAGTACCTGGAATAAGAAATATGACATAATTCTCATACTTTTAACACTTATCTAACTCCGTAGGCTTTAAGCCAAGTTGAAATATCACTAGATATTTTGTAGAAAAGATTAGATCTCTGACCCCTCTAAATTCTAGGATTAGAGAATTCCAACTTTATATCACATTTAAGATGAAGGATGTTGAAACATAGGTCAAATAAGTAATCATGGAGTGTTGAAATGCCCCATAGGAAAATCACTATGCTCAATATTTGAAGGTACTGAGCTGGGCTTATAGAGGTCTTGGCTTGCAAGAGCTAAATATTGACAGGTCAACAGCTCTAACTCTGTTTGATAAGCCTGCCATGCTCCATCTTTTTCAAATATTTACGTTTGGCTTCTGCATAAGAGTTGTTGATTTTCAGTAGAGGCTAAGATGAATGACAGTTGATAACTGTTCTCTGTGTTGCATAGAATTTCCTTTCAAGGTTTTGAGCTATTTTTCCATCTTCCACAGTAAACGTGTAAGCCGAGTTAAAAACAGGTGGCTTTAAATGCTGTCAGCTGTATTCTAGTGGCTTGATTGTGTCTTTCACTATGCAAAATACACTTCTTATAGGTTATGTTATTTATATTAGTCTCCTGATTCATATTACTGCAGATATTGCTTAAATTGAGAGCAATTACCCAGCTCATTTTTGTTCATTTTAAACCTGCTGTGTTCTCAATATTTTTTTCTAGATTATGGATCAAATAAGGACAGCTAACCATTTTCACTGTTGTAGATTTATATACGTAGCCCTAGAAGCTACCTTGGAGATGACCTAGTTCACCTGCTTTGTCTTACAAATAAAGGATAATAGTGATGGATATTTATTGCTAGTATATCATGTTCTTGTGATGCTGCTAATTTATTTCATGTGTGCTCTCAATTAATCTCTCTAGTTCAGTAGAGTAAGCATTGTCATTATTACCATCCAAACAGAAAAAGACACAAGGAGTGTGAGCATTCATAGAGATTAGGACAGCTGCTGTCACGTGGATTTTGCTAGTCATAAGCTATACCCATAAAGCCTCACCAACTTTACTACTACCCAGACATGAGCTAAGCAAGTATGTCACCAATAGACATGCCAAAGTCTTTGGGGATAGCCCATGAGGCTTCTACCCTATGCAAGAACCACAGGAAATTAAGGAATGCTGAGAGTGGGAGAAGTGTTCTTCCCCATGGAAAAGCACACCAGCTGGTTATTTATTCCCAAAAGGTCACTTCTAAAAAAATACATGTGAGGAACTCTGTACATAATAAGCAGGGTATATTTAGGAATATATATAAAGAGAGACATAAATTCATGCAATAACAATTAATAAAAAACATGATAATATGTGAAAGGGAGAGGAGGGGCTGTATTGGTGTAGAGGGAGGAAAGGTAAAGGAGAAGTGTAATTATATTACAATATCAAAAGCTTTTAAAATATAAAATTGTAGCATGGTAAGTTCTTACATATTAAGTGAAGGAAAATGACAAAAGATTAATATAGTCCAAGAGGAAAACTATGTAGTACAAACGATTCATAGCATAAAATGTAAAGATTAGAGAAGGCTTGTAATGTTACCTAACCCAGAAAAATGATAAAGAATAGGGAACCTATTAACCAGTGAGACCTAGATCCTACACTCATTTCTAGGCTCTTTTCTTTTCTAGGCTCTTTGTATAACTTGACTGGTTTTTGATTGAAGTTTTAGCATCAGTAATGTTTACCTGTTAGTAAAGGTACTTGTATGATTTTTAATATTTTTGTATTTTAGATACTGCCTAGTTTTTCACTTCAGTCAAATTAGATTTTATTTTACCAATGAGGAGATTTAACCTCTTCATTTTTTCTAATAAACTGAATTCAATAGAACGAAGTAAAAGGCAACTTTGTTCATTCTCATCCTTGAAACTGAAAATGTTTCTGTGGGTTTTATTCATCAATCTGTTACATACTGGACTGGAGAGATGAAAGCATGAGGACCTGAGTTCAAATCCTTAGAAGCCATATAAAAAAACTGGGCATAGTTGTACATGCCTACAACTCAAACGTGAGAGGAAGCTAATTGCTGGCCTTGTTGGCCGACAGCCTACCATTGGATTTAATAAAAAAAAACCTCTGGTCTTCAGGAGTGCATACCCACACATACACATGGCATCACACACACACACACACACACACACACACAAACACATGCGCGCACACACACACACACACACACACACACACACTATTTTATAGACTGCTTCTGTCAACACACCATAGGCTGTGGTCCAGTCTTCCACAAAAGTCCAATCTCTGTCCCTCAGAGAAGCCTGTTCCTGGCTGTGCTGCATTCTGTATTAAAAACTCCTTCCAAAAACTATGGTGGGCATCTCTCTCCAGTTGGCTGCTACCAGCGGAGCATCTACAGCTGTGAGGTGTTGGAAACTGAGCCACAATCCTAGTGCTTCCATGGAAAGTGAGGAGGGAGACACAGCATAAAATACACCTCAAATGACAACTTTGAACTCTAATTCTCCAGTAGAAACTAACAGTGACACAGCCCCGTATGTCTATGGTATAGACACATGATGGGGTAAGGTTTTGGCAAGCTGGACTTGAAATACAAGCTTTAGTCATCTCACAATATCTATGAAAAGAAATGTGTCCAGCTCAAAACAATGAACCTACAAATGATCCTCAGGAGCATAACTCATCTGGAAACTAGCGGCTGCATCCACAAGCATCTCCCTTCTGTCAGGCCCAATAGATCAGAGCTGGGTAGCAGCACTGATTTACAGCCCTGGCCCTGCTGCTGAACCACTTCCTAATTCACATTCTTTATCCTTAAAATGAGAGCTGTAATATGTCTGCCCCAGCTACAAGGTTGTTTCTAATAATCATGGCTATTTCTCAACAAATACCTTTCAAAATCGCCTGTACCGGTTCATTTACTCTTAAGAGATATCCTACATTGTGAATTTATAAAATTGAATATAGGAAGTGGTTCTAGAAATATGGTTCCTAAGATTAATTCAAATGACCCAAAAGAATTGTTATAAACTCCATCTTAACTCTATTTCCTTGTTTCTCATGACCTATATATTATTTTTAGAACAACAGAATTAAATTACCAAAAGTCTTTCTAAATTTAAGAGTGTTAATTGAATGTATTATAATGCACATGTCATATTACATTTTACAAAGTCTCAAAGATGTTTTTAAAACATAAAGAAGTGATTTTGCAACACTAAGTACAATACCAGGGTGGTCCCAGAGTTTAAAAAGAATGTCTAACAATTAAAAGCAAAGGTGAAAAGATAGAGCAAACCTTTTTTAACATCCTTCTAATATATTATTTTAAAGCCACTGACAGATAAGGTAATACACCGATATATTATAGGTAGATATATAGATGGATAGATAGATAGATAGATAGATAGATAGATAGATAGACAGATGATAGCTAGATCCATGTATATGTACACACGCAAGCAAACACATATACTTTTGTTTCTCAAATACTCTTGGACATAGTTTTACCCTTATATTGGTTCTTTAACTTTAAAAGTGACTTGGATAAAAATATTGATGAATACTCATTTATATTTGCACAAGATTCATATTTCCAACTTTCCAAAAATTATATTTTACCGTATATTTTTATGAAAGCAGAAAGGAAATAAAACCAAAGAGCCTTATGAACCTCAGGAAAAATAAATGTTGAATATTTACAATTTCCCTTGTGTTTTGACCCAATAGCTACTATGCTTGTATCACGGCAGAGTACAACAGGCATCTCTCTCATAAACATGATCTTATCCATTCCAACTGATTAATTTTTATGTTAAAATAAGTGAACTTTGTACTCATTAGTCATTAAAACTTGTAGAGTAAAATAAGCAACTATTTGTCACTAGAGCGCTTACCTAAAGGGAGATTTTTTTTTCCATTTTGCAAATGAGAACAATGGTGAGGAAGTAGAACAGTATGGACACATACCTAAGGGTTTTGGCCCCAAAGCCCACTCTTTGCACTGTGCCAAACTGGCACACAAGCCACAAGTGTACCTTAATGTTTTCACTTTCAGTGAAACATAATGCAGAATCTCTAATTTTGAAGTAAATCAATTGAAACTTAACAACTGCCAGGCATCTCTAAGGCTTAATAGGTTAAAGGACCTGACTCTTGAACAGAAAATCCTGGGTTCAATTCCCAGTGGAATGTTGTCTTAGGCAGCCCCTTTTCCAGTTCCCTCCCATGTAACATATAGTCCTCTTACTTCCCAATAAACTTTTCTTGTTTTAAAACAAAAGAAAAGAAGAAAAGCAAGACAATGAACTGCTTCAATATACTGGCATTATCAAATCCTCTTTGGCTTTGAGTATAGACTTAAAAGCAGGTATCAGCAAGTTCCTTGTTCAAACTTCTTTTTTTCTCTCACCCTGTTCTTCCCTTTGTTCAGACTTGATCCAATGTTGTGATGGTTTCCAAGCTGGCATACAACCACCAGTTAGCCTGATTTAGAACCGAGATGTGAGGCAGATGTGTGAACTGTAAAATGAAATCAGACATTTTCTGGTGAAAAGTAACCCTGGTTTGGTTGACTAGTTTCACAATGAGGCCTGATTATCTGAAGGGCAAGAACTATAAATTCAGCTAAATCTATACTCCAAAACTTAAATAAAACTACATTTAACTTGGGTATATTAAATAAAATAACCAATAGGACATTTTGCAACTGTTTCATATATTCACATTTTTATTTCAACTTTGAAATATATGAGCAGATGACAGAATTTTTTTCTTTTAAAGAAAGTCTTTGATGAGAACAAAGACTTCCGAACAAATGTCTGATCCATTGCATAGCCACCTTTCCAAGTTTCCCAGTTGCCTTCTCCCATTGAAGTCTACTCACACCCAGCCATAAATGCCACCATGTCTGATATTTGCTCACCTCAGCTCAGGTCTTGGACACTTCTGAAAGAAAGAGAAGAAAGAATCATTGGTGACATGGTTCCAGGCATTCAACATAGGCTGGGAGCCTAATACTGTTGGGTTTCTTTCCTCCTCCTTCAGCTTTCTTGTTTTCTACAGCAGTTATCTCTAACACTTTTTTTAGCTTTTCACACCTCCTCTTAACAACAACACACACCATTTTCACCCAAGCCACATTTATCTTACAGAAACACAGTGCCTTCTATAGTACAACTGCTCTTGGTGCCCTGTGCCCATTTCCTTGAGGTCTTTTTCCTTTACAGTCGTACCTTCATTCTTCTATGCGTCCTATCTCATCTTCAAGCTCTTGTTCCCATCTGCATTCGGAAATACTTTCATTTCACTCATTGAAACAAACTAACAAACAAAGAAAAAAACAGAAATATATGCAATGAGCACATGTATCTTGCTGCTCACTGCTTCACTGCTTGCCTGCATGGTACCATGGTACCATCTCCTTGTTCTACTCTCCTTACACTCCAACTTTATAAGTCAGTGTGTTCACTTTTTCCCTCCTCTCCTCCTCTTTAACAGTGTGCTTGGTGCTCTCACCACACCAACGTGCCATCTGCAACACAGAGCATTCTCCTTATAAAGTATTTGTTCCCGGGGTTAGAGAGATGGTTCAGAAGTTAAGAGTACTTACTACTCCTGCCAATCAGAGTATGATAACCAACATCCCAACATCCATATTATGTAGCTTACAAACACCCCTAACTCCACTTCAGGGGATCCCACAACCCCTTCTAGCCTCTGTGGACACCTGCATACACGTGCATACACTAACACACAAAACCAGCAGTAACAAAATAACAGTAATTAACAATCATTGGCCATTAATATCTCTCAATATGAATAGACTCAATTCATGAATAAAAATACTAACAGAATAGATGCAAAAGTGGGGTCCACACTTCTGCTGCATATAAGAAACATACTTCAATATCAAAGATAGACATTACCTCAAAATAAAGGGTTGGAAAAATTTTTCCAAGAAAATGAACCCAAGAAGCAAGCTGGTGTAGATATTCTAATACCTAATAATATAGACTTCCAATAGAAATTAATCAAAAGAGATGGGGAAGGATACTTCATACTCATCAAAGGAAAAAATCTACCAAAATGGCATCTCAATTTTGATAATCTATGCCCCAAACACAAGAACACCCACATTTGTAAAAGAAACATTACTAAAGCATAAGCCACACATTAATAGTGGGAGACTAAAATATCCCACTCTCACCAATGGATAGGTCATCTAGTAAAAAAAGGAAATTGAAAAAAATGGAGCTAATAGGCGTTGTGACTCAAATGGACCTAATAGATATCTACAGAACCTTTTACTCAAACACAAAAGAATACACCTTTTTATCAACACCTCACAGAACTTTCCACAAAACTGACCATATATTCAGTCACAAAGCGAGTCTAATAAGATAAGGAAACTGAAATATCCCCCTGTATTGTATCTGACCACCGCAGATTAAAACTGGATTTCAACAACAACAACAACAAAAACAACAGAAAGTCTACAAATTCATAGAAACCAAACAATCTCTACCAAACAATCAAGGCAGAAATAAAACAAAAAAGAAAATAAAACAAGAAAGAAAATAAAACAATCTCTACCAAACAATCAAGGCAGAAATAAAACAAGAAAGAAAATAAAACAATCTCTACCAAACAATCAAGGCAGAAATAAAAAGATTGAATAAAATAAAATAAATAAATAAATAAATAAAATAAAACAATCAAGGCAGAAATAAAAAGATTGAAGTCTCTTTATAATTCAATGAAAGTGAATGAATCACATACCCAAATTTATGGAACACAATGAAAGCAGTGCCAAGAGGAAAGATCATAAAACTAAGTGCCTATATGAAGAATTTAGAGAAATCTCATACTAGTGACTTAATAGACCAAATGAAAATTCTAGAACAAAAAGAAGCAGTGCAATAAGATAGCGTGTAGACAGAAACTTCATATAAGCAAACTGAAATTTAAAAAAACACATTATCATCTCATTAGATGTTGAAAAATCTTTGACAAAGTCCAACACACCTTCATAATAAAAATATTGGTAAATATGGGATACAAACATAATAAAGGTAATTTACAGCAAGCCTATAGACAACATGAAATTACATGGAGAGAAGCTCAAAGAAATTCCACTGAAATCAGAAACAAGACAAGGCTGTCCACTCTCTCCATATCTATTCAATAGAGTATTTGAAGTTCTAGCTAGAACAAAAAGATGCCAAAAGAGATTAAGGTAATGCAAATTATAAATTAAGAAAACAAAATATCTCTATTTTCAGATGATATGGTAGTATATATAAAGAGCCCCAAAAATTCTACCAGGGAACTCCTACAGCTAATAAACACCTTCAGTGACATGGCTGGATACAACATAAACTCAAAAAAAAAATCAGTAGCACTTCTATATACAAATAACAAACAAATGAACTGAGAAATAAATCAAGGAAATAATACCCTTCATAATAGCCACAAATAATATAAAATATCTTGGGGTAACTCTAACCAAAGAAGGGAAAGACCAATATAACAAGAATTTTAGTATTTGAAAAAAGAAAGAGAAGAAGATATCAGAAGATGAAAAGATCTCTCATGCTAATGGATCAGTGGATTAACATAATAAAAATGGCAATCTTATCAAAATCAATCTACAGATTCAACAAAATTCCTATCAAAATTCCATTTACAGATCTTGAAAGAACAATACTCGACATCATATGGAAAAACAAAACTACCAAGATAGCTAAAGCAATACTCTACAGTAAAAGGACTTCCAGAAGTATCACCAACTGTGATCTCAGGCTCTATTACAGAACTATAGTAGTAGAAGCCACATAATATTGGCAGAAAAACAGAGAAGATGATCAGTGAAATCTAATCAAAGACTCAGGTGTAAATACATAAACCCATAGACACCTGATTTTTGATAAAGAAGCCAGAATTATACAACGAAAAAGGAAAACATCTTCAACAAATTGTGCTGATCTAACCGGACATCACCATATAGAAAAATGCAAATAGACCCATATCTATTATCCTGCACAAAATTCAAGTCCAAGTGTATCAAAGAGCTCAAAATAAAGCCAGATACACTGAACCTGATAGAAGAGAAGGTAGGGAATATTCTTGAACACATTGGCGCAGGAGACAATTTCCTGAACAGAACACCAATAGAATAGGCACTAACATAGACAATTTATAAATGAGACCTCATGAAACTGCAAAGCTTCATGGGGACCAATCAATGGGACACAATAGCAGTCTACAGAATGGGAAAACATTTTCAACAACTCCACATCTGGCACAGGGCTGATCTCCAAAATATATAAAGAACTCAAGAAACTAGACATCAGCAAACCAAATAATCCAATTAATAAATGGGGCACAGATATAAACAGAGAGTTCCCAGCAGAGGAATCTCAAATGGTCAAGAAGCTCAAAGAAATGTCCAACAACCTTGGCCATCAGGGAAATGCAAATTAAAATAACTTTTAGATTCCCTCTTATACCTGTGAAATGGCTAAGATCAAAAATACAAACAGCATCTTATACTGTTAAGAATGTAGGCCAAGAGTAACACTCCTCCATTGCTGCTGGGAGTGCAAACTCACATAGCCACTTTAGAAATCAATATGGTGGTTTCTCAGAAAGGTGAAAATCAATCCACTTCAAGATTCAGCTATATCACTCCTGGACATACACCCAAAGACACTCCATCCTACCTCAAAGACAGTTGCTTAACTGTATTCATAGCAGCATTATTCATAATAGCCAGAAACTGGAAACAACCTAGATGTCCCTCAACTGAAGAATGGATAAACAAAATGTGGTGCATTTACACAATTGTGTATCGCTCAGATTTTTAAAAATTCATGAAATATGCCGAAAAATATATGGAACTAGAAAAAGTCATCCTGAGTGAGGTAATCCAGACCCAGAAAGACAAACATAGTATGTATTCATTTATTTATGGATATTAGCTGTAAAGTAAAGGGTAATCAAGCTACAATCCACAGACCTACCCAGAGAGTCTTAGTAGCAAGGAGGGCTCAAGGGGGAAATACATAATCTCCCTAGGGAGAAATAGGATAGACATGAAGGGCAGGACTGGGGCAGGGAGGAGGAACAGGAACAGGATGTATGGGCAGAAGGATGAGGATATAGGGAGAGAGTATTGGGAGAAACTGCTAGAATGGGGGCAGGGGGACTTGGGGATGAGCTAGAAACTAATGCAGTAGAAACTCACAGGAATTATGAGGGTGACCTTAGATAAGACTCCTAGCAATAGGAGATAAGGAAACTGAACTGGCCATCTCCTCTAACCAGGCACATCTTCCAGTGAACACCAACCCAGCCACAAAACCTTCCACCTAGAGGTTGTTCTGCCAGCAAGATATGCTGGAACAGGAGCCTCACAGAATCATCATCAGAGATTCATCCAGCAATTGATGCAGAGACCCACAGCCAAACATTAGGAAGAGCTCAGGGAATCCTGAGGAAGAAGAGGGAGGAAAGATTGTAGGAAACAGAGAGGCCAAGGACACCATAAGAAAACCCACAGAATCAACTAACCTGGACTCTCACAAGTGCTCAGAGAGACTGCACCGACAGAGAGTGTACATGGGTCTGACCTAGGCCCTCTGCATATATGTTATGGTTGTGTTGGTTGGTATTCTTATGATACTCCTAACAGTGGGAATGAAGGTTGTCCCTGATTTTTTGACTGCTTTGGGGACCATTTTCCTCCTACTGGATTGCCTCATACAGCCTCAGTAGGAAGGGAGGTGCCTGGTCTTATTGTAATTTGATATGCCATGCTTGGTTGATATCCCTGGACATCTTTCCTTTTCATGAAGAGAAATGAGGAGGAGTAGAGTGGGTTGGTAGTGGGGAGTAGGAACTAAGAGGAGAAGAGGTAGGGGAAACTGTGGTCAGTATGTAATATATGAAAAAAATTTTAAAAACATTCTTATGAAATCATTCTCTAATAATGATAACAAACCCTATTTCCTTATGCATATCAAAATACTTGGGATATGAAAAGTAAAAACTAGAATTACTCTTCTTTCATTGATTCCATTGGCAATCAAAGGTCATCTAGCCTTACCCTGGTGAACTATTGGTCCATCCTTCTTCCATGGTATCCACTGAACCTTGGAGAGAACCAAACCATTTCTGACTTTCCAAATACTATTTTTAACCTCCAAAAAGTAGTTGTCTTATTCAGATAGAAATATTGTTTAAATGGGACTTTTCCTCATCTGTCAGAAAACACAAGTCAAAAATAATATTTCATGTTTTTTAAACCCAATGTTCCTGAT